ACCTAAGTGTCCATCGACAGATGAATGAATAAAGAAAATGTGGAACATATACACAATGGAGTGCTATTCAGCCATAAAAAGAATGAGATCTTTTCATTTGCAGCAACATAGATGAAACTGGAGATCATTATGTTAAGTGAAATAAACCAGACAAAGAAAGACAAACATCGAATGTTCTCACTTATTTGTGGGGTCTAAAAATCAAAACAGTTGAACTCATGGACATACAGAGCAGAAGGATGGTTACCAGAGGCTGGCAAGGGTTGTGGAGTAGTAGGGGAGGGGTGAGAATGGTAAATGAGCACAAAAAATAGAAAATATGAGTAAGACCTACTATTTGATAGCATTACAGGATGACTAGAGTCAATAAGTACTTAATTGCACATTTAAAGATAACTAAGAGTATAATTGGTTTGTAACACAAAGGATAAATGCTTAAGGGGATGGATACCCCATTCTCCATGGTGTGATTATTTCACATTGCATGTCTGTATTGAAACATCTCATGTACCCCATAAATATATACACCTACTATGTACTCACAAAAATTAAAACTTAAAATAAAAAAATAAAATAAAATAAAAGTGCTTTTGGAAGTGGGCTTTCTCTCTTTGCTTATCTGTCATTTGAGGAACAGTATTCCTCCCCTCCAGAGGGTGGAATATTCAAAGGCCATCTTGGGAGTAGAGACAGGGCCCTCACCAGATACCAAACCTGCTGGTACCTTGATATTGGATTTCCCAGGCTCCAGCAACACAATATAAACTAAGCATCTTGCCTAAGAATATCACACACAGTCACATCCTATCCTGGGAACAGCAAACTTGCAAAGGGGACAATTCTCACATGGGTCTCATCAGAAACGCCACTCGTGGGAAAACTCCCTAAATACACAATGAAGATTTAACAAATATTTACTGAGCACCAATTACTGTGAGAGATGCTAATATGTAATGTCATAGTTCCTATCTTTGGGCTAATTACAATTGAGTCAGAGAGGTAAAGTATTTAAATGTGAAAAGCTAAATAACAACACAAAATTGAAAGGGTAATTCCTACATAGTTGTTGTGAATGTAAATCCGTAAATCTTTTTTTTTTTTGAGACAGGATTTTGCTCTGTCACCCAGGCTGGAGTGCAGTGGAGCAATCACAACTCACTGCAGCCTCAACTTCCCTGGGATCAGGTAATCCTCTCACTTCAGCCTCCCAAGTAGCTGGGACTATGGCCACATGCCACACCTGGCTAATTTTTTTATTTTTTGTAGAGATAGGGATTTGCCATGTTGCCCAGGCTGGTCTTGAACTTCTGGGCTCGAGTGATCCACTCACCTCAGCCTCCCAAAGTACTGCGATTACAGGTATGAGCCACTGTGCCCAGCCAATAAAATCTTTAATGAAGGTCAATGTAGTAATACCTACCAAAATTAAAAATGCACATGCCCTTGACCCAGAATTCCAGTTAAATGGATAGAAATATATCCTACAGATATATTAATATATGTGCTAAATGACATATGTATACAAAGATAATATTTGAAGCATTATATAAAATTGCAGCATTTTAAAATAAAAAATCCCTCAATATGCATTGATAGGAAACTAGTTAATTAAATTATGGTCTATGCATTAACAGAATACTATGCAGCTGTTAAAATATTTAGGGAATTTTGTATATGCTGATACAAAATAATCTCCAAAACATAATGCTAAATCAAAAATAGACAAGTGGGACAACATCCAACACAAGAGATTCTGCACAGCAAAAGAAATAATCAACAGAATAAAAATCTTAAGGAGAGAGAAAATATTTGCAAACCACATATCTGATAAGGGGTTAATACACAAAATACAGAAGGAACTGCAACTCAGTAACAAAAAAAAAAACAATTAAATTTTAAAATGGGCAAAGGACATGAAAGAAATTTCTCCAAACACATACAAATGACCAGCCATTATATGAAGATGCTCAACATCACTAATTATCAGGGAAATGCAAAACAAAACCACAATGAGATATTACCTCACACCTGTTAGGATGATCATTATCAAAATAACAAAAAACAAATGCTGGCAAGGATATGGAGAAATTGGAATCCTTGTGCACTGCTGGTAGAAACATAAAATAGCACAGCCATTAGGGAAATCAGTATGGAGATTCTTCAAAAAATTTAAAATAGAACTACCATATGATACAGCAATCCCACTTCTGGATATTTATACAAAATAATTGGGAACAGAATCTTGAAGAGATATTTGCACTCCCATGTTCGTTGCTGCATTATCCAAATAGCCAAAAGGTGAAAACAAACTAAATGTCTATTGGCAGATTCATGGATAAAGAAATTGTGGTATACACATACAATGGGATATTATTCAGCCTTAAAGAATGAAGAAAATTCTTCTATGTGCTACAATATGCATAACACTTGAGGATAACATGCTAAGTGAAACAAGCCAGTCACAAAAGGACAAATACTACATGATTCCTTGGTACAAGATGGCTAAAGCACTCAAACTCATAGAAGCAAAAGGTAAAATGGCAGTTGCCAGGGGCTGCAGGGACAGGGAAATAGGGAGTTGTTCAATTGGGCACAGAATTTTAGTCATGACGGATGAAAAAGTTTTAGATATCTACTATGCAATATGCATATAAATAACAATACTACATCGTACACTTAGAGATTTGTTAAGAGGGCAGATTTCATGTTAGGTGTTATTTATTTTTGTTTAGCATAACTAAAAAAAGTCATAATGTTAAGTGAAGTCAAAGGGGCAAAGGATTTCATGTTGTATGCCAACATTTGTGGGTGTATATCCATGTATTCTCCCTGTGTTTGTGTATTCTCTCTCTCTAAGACAGACATAGGATATACTGGGAAGAATACAGAAAGTTGTAAAAGTGGTTGCTTCCAAGGAGGAAAACTGGATGCTGGGGACAGAATTGGATGGCAGGACATTTTTGTAAATTTAAAATCCGTACCATGTGCATATTACCCACTCAAAAACTGAAAAAGAATCTTTGGTATACCAAAAGAATCATATAGATAATAACGGGTAGGCTGGAGTGGAGTATAAAGTGTTTACAGAGCTGGGATTTGAGCTGGGTGTTGAAGAATGAGAAGCATTTGGATAGGTGGAAAATAAGTCACATTCTGGGTGTGTACCTGGAAGTAGGAGTAGGGAGAGGAGTAACAATATAGAAGAGGTTAATGAAAGGCAAATCAAGTGCCAGACAGAAAAAAACAGTTTAAGGGTGTTGTAGAACATACGTAAGAAAGGGCTGAAATATAGCTTAGTGGATGAGGCAAGGGAATCTGGGATTAATAGGGGTAGTAGCGAGCCATTATTTGGGATTAACGGGGGTAGTAGTGAGCCATTATAGGTTCTTGAGCAAGGGAGTAATATTATGAAAGCAGGATTGCAAGGAGACCAGAGAACAGTAACAGGCAAAATGGGCTGGAAGACATACATCTGCTAGCAGGTAGATACGGGCAATACAGTAGTTGCGCATTAGAGTCATCTGGGAAGCTCTAAGTATATCGATGCTTGGGTCGTAACCCTCAGAGATTTGGATTTAATTGGTTGGGGTGGAACCTGCATGTGGTAATTTTTGCAAAGTTCCCCAAGTGATGCCAAAGAACAGCCTGAATTGATAATCACTGCAATACTTCAGGCACAAAGAGATGAAGGCTGAGATTTAGACAGGAATCTGGCAGGAGGCTGAGTCAGGATAAAAGCAAATCTAGGAGGCGTTTCAAAGGAAGAACTGACATTGTGACAGATTGGAGTTAAACAGTAGGACACAGTCTGTTAGATTCCTTTATGCATTCATTCAACAAATATTAAGCCACTCCAAAGTACCAGGCACTGTTCTAAGCTCTGAGGATTTGGTTATAAGACAGTTAAGTCCCAGTTCTTACGAAACTTCCAGTCTAGTGGACACAGACAACACATAAACAAGATTTCCAGCAGCGACCTGTATAACAGGGTAAAGTTAAAAAGCACTACCATGTGTTGGGGGCCATAACACGGTCATGACCATAAGACAGATGGGGCAGACATCTCTGAGGGGGTGACAGTTGACCTGAGGCTTAAATAAGAACCCAGGCTTGCAAAGGTCTTTGAACATTATGTTTGAACTAGGGAAAACAGTAAGTGTGAGGGAAGAAGCTTGGTGTGTTCAATGGGTAGAAAGTACAGTGCAGCTGGAGAATGAAGGATAGATTGATATCAGAGAAATAAGTAGGTACAGACAAAATTGAGCCTTGTAGGCAATGGTATGAATTTCATTCTAGGTGAGATGGAAAGCCCTTAGAGGAAATTAAGCAGGGTAGCAACATAATCTGATTTGAATTTTTAAACAACTATTTTGCAGTATGAAAGTGGACTGTAGGTAGAAGGAATGCAAGCAAGAAAGCCAGTTGGGATGTTGGATGAAAAGAGTAGGGCTGCTGACAGATATGAGAAAACTGTAGTGAGGAATGGATTTGGACATGTGAAGTTTGAAGTGATTGTGAAGCCACCAAGCAGAAATGTTCTGAAGTAACTAGAAATACAGAAAACAGATGAGAGTTTAGGCTGTACCCACTGATTTGGGGGTCACTTCCAAGGGAAGTGAGGAAATGCAGGTTAGATGACACTACAGGAATATTAACAACTTCATCCAAAGTATAGATTAATAACAACCCAGAAGAAATACTGATAGTGGTGGGCTGCAGGGCCCTCTGGTGAGTCTTGTCTCATTTAACATTTTTATCTGTGAATGGGATGAAAAAATGAAAGTATGATGAAGGATGTCACAAAAGCAGGGAATGGTGACTGATGCACTAGAATCAGGATTCAAAAAAAGATCTCAATTGCTTGAGTGGTGCACTGAAGCTAACAGGATGAAATTTAACACAGATAACAGATACAAACATATGTATGTATATGTGTACCTATACATATGTGTGTATATATATGTGTGTGCATATATATATTCCCTCATATTTAAAAAATGTAAATCAACAGCACAAGTACCGGGTTCTAGGAACCTGGGTAATTTACCTAAAAAAGGCCTGCAGCTTTTCTGACCACATACTTTATAAGCCAAAAGTGTAATGTCATTGCTAAAAATTCTGATGTAAAGTCAAAATATGTGGATAATATTTACTACAAAACTAAAATAATTACTTTTCTGGGGAAAAATACATCAGTAGTGAAAATAAATGCATTTATTTTCTATTTCTAGAATACCGTTTTCTAGTCAGGCTGCTGACTAAATGTCTGAAGCAGAGATGGAAGAAGATACAATATGGTTGGAAGCTATGTGATTTGAGGGACAACAAAGTAATAAAAGTGTACGTATATTCAATGCTTAACAGCTTACTCGAGTTTTTCCCAAATATGTAATCTCACGTGAAGGAGAGTTTCCTCTGGTTGAGAGAAAACCCAGTCAAACATTGAGTCTTCAGCAAGTTCAGAGAACGGTAACTTGTCCAAAATTAGAAAGAGACAGAAGCTGGGATTTGAACACAGGTAATTTTGACTCCAAAATCTTCTTTTAAAAAAAATATATGTATATATTAAAAATACATGTATAGTTTTTTGTTTAAGCAATTCTACTTATCAAGTTGATCTGAAAATGTTCAGTCAGAAAAATGAGTTGTATCTGAACTTTTTTCAAGCAAGACGTATGTATGTATGTCTTACAGAGCTTCATGACCTTGGGGCTAGCTCAACTTCAAGAACATAATATGTGCTAAGAATTTGCTGAATGAATTAGCCAGCCCTTTTTCTTGTGTTGTGTATCTGTCCAGTGATGAACACTAGATAAAATATATACACAGCTGACTCTTGAACAACATGGGTTTCAACTGCATGGGTTCCCTAATGGTTGATTTTTTTCCAATCAAATATGGATTAAAAATATAGTAATTTCAGGATGCAAAATCTGCACATGTCTACACAAGGTTGATATTTTGTATATGTGGTTCTGCAGTAGGACTTGAATGTGCATGGACTTTGGTATATGAGGGAGATCCTGGAACCAATCGCCAAGGGATGACTGTACATTCAAACAAGTGAGAAACATTTCTCTGCAAGTCGTTTTCTTTATAGCATCCCATATTACAATGTCTTTTCATCCATCTGTTTTTGGATTTTTTTTTTCTCCCTGGCACCTCAATTTTCCTTTCGACCCATTTACTTTGTACCATAGGTGAATAAACCTCTTATTCCCACCTGCCCACCTGACCATCCGCCAAGATGAGTCTTCCTGTTCCTTATAATTGCTTGTCCTGACTGACAGCTTGGCAAAGCAGGAAAACAGATTCCTGTGATAGTAAACACATTTATCAGATTGTTTAGGAAGGGTGAGAAACAAAAAGGATCTGATTTCAATAAAGAAACCATGTCCACAATATCTTTATTCATCCTCCATCAAAATTTTGTTTTCCTGTTTTTCCTACCTCCCTATGGAAAAAATGCAGGAGGATTACCAGTAGAAGAATAAATTGTGTATTTGAGTTAAAAAAAACACAAATTTCTCAGTAGAATAAAAAGGTTCTGAAATGTTCTAAAGTCAAAAATTATGACACCTAAAATCTAGGCAGAAAAATTTGCAGGAAGCAAAGTATGTTTAACATAGGGCTAATTCTAACGCAGCCGCAGAGAGCTGTTAACATGCCAAAAAGAAAAGCAGGTTAAAATTAATTCAGTTTGAGTCTCTCTGTTTCTAGTATCTATTTTCTCTCTGTATATACTGTACTGGCAGTGTCAGCACTACAGTCAGCCAGAGCGGAAGTACTCTCCACACCCAGCTACCCACAGATTACCCAGTAACCTGAGCCTGCAAACATGCAGGACAGAGAAGGGAGAAGAGAAAAATCTGTTTACCTTAAACAGAGATCTTCCAAACTCATTAACATCTTGTACAGCGTTTGCCATTTCACGTGTGTTAAGATAACCTTATTCCCAGGCCCTAAAATGAATTTTTTCAGGGTCAAATGCCTGTAGTACTTCCACCAATGGGTGGAATACACATTTCAAATACAATATAGAACTGGTATGAAGCACACATTGAGAAAGAAATGCCTCTTTTTCAACTGATCTCTGCTTACTTCAGTACCCCAGGCATATGAGAAAAAATTGTAAAGTCTTAAAGGTAGATGCTTTATATGCAGGTAAATATAGAACAGGAGATTTCACAAAGATGAAAATGTTTTTAAAAGGAGCACATGAAGACTAATGATTAGCTCATAACCCATTTGAAGGTATATATAAAGTTCACCAGAAAATGGATAATTTGTTTCTGCTTTTCCACTGATGGATTTATCAGTGTACTAAGCTGAAGTTTAGAAAAATGCTGTGGTAGGAAGAAACACTACAGTACCACAGAGAGATTGGGTTGATCTAGTAATGTGCTACCCATCAAATGCCAATATGGAATTGCTGGATAATAGAGAATCTATAGTATTCTCAGGACCTCAATTCTGTACCTAGATTGTACTGAGTTTTAGATCCTGCTTCTAGATGGAAAAGCGCGCGTGCACACACACACACACACACACACACACACCCCAAAAGATTTCCAGACCTTGGGTGTTTAAAGGGCCTTCACACAGTAAATCAACCTACTGCTGTCTTGTTTTCTCTGCAACCAGACTGAAATAATATAGCACCAGCAGAGGTGTGAATTACCCCCATTCATCTTAATGGAGTGTTAACTTCAAAGGCTTGTTTTAACCATTTAAATGCTAAGCTCATGAGTAAACATTCTGTTAAAAAAAAAAAAAAGTACAATTTAAACATTCTCCCTCAACATACGAAAGTAATTTATAGTCTTGGCACTTCGTCTTTTAATTTAGCAAACAAGTCTCCAAATGTTAGAAAAGTATATATTTTCTGCTTTACTTAGTTTTATTTTAAATAGTTATTACCTAATAAATTATGAACATTAAGCCCATAATGAGAAGGCCCATATTTCCCAGGAAAAATTCTGAGGAGCACTTGAATAAGGTTTTTTTGGTAATCCTGCTTGAAGGGGGCATTGCTCTCACCAGCCATCTTATTAACTTCATCTAAATGCACAGAGAAAATTGTGACTAAAACAGGCAACTAGATAAGGCAGAACATTAAAGTAAAATAAAAATGAATACCTGCACAAATAATTTTTCTTGCTACTAAGTTCTGTGCAGAGTGTTCAATAGATTGTCCCGTTGCAAAACCTCCCATGATCCTATCTCATGAGCAGGTGACAAATGTATTAATTGATGCCCAGCTGTCATCACACTTAACAATTGCCCCAGGGGGCATCCTTGCATCTGTTGCAGATTTAGGGTTATTTTGGTATTACTGGAGTTAGACTTATTTAAGCAGCTGCACACCTATCTGTATTTGGATCCATAACGTCATAAACAGAAAAAGAGGGTACGAGTAGTAGGATATGAGATTGACTGGCTCTGGCTGACCTGAAGCCACATGGGAGGCCATGTCTGGCTGTGCCCTGGGACCATCCTAAGTGCCTAGTTTCAGGAAGCCATTATTAGTAGGAGAGTACAGCTGGGGTAAACTGTGGGAAAGCACTAAAAACGTGCACTTGGGGCCAGTTCCCCTGTGAGTGAAGGCTAAAGAAAGATTCTGAAAATAATTGTCATGCAAGATGAAGATATTCAAGATATGTTTCCAAGTCCTTAGTGGAAAGCAAATTCATTTCATTGGTCTAGAAAAGGGAATGGACAAAGTGGATAAACATTTAATCTATCAAAAGAGTCTGTTTTGGTCTGCACCTAATTGATAGAGAGCATTCAATTCTATCAATATGATCCTGTATAATAGGCATTAACTCCACTTTATAGATGTGAACATGGAGGCTTATAGAGGTTACGTAGTGTGCCTTTCACTGAGACTTGAATCGAAGTCTTTCTAACCCAAGAGCTTTGGTCTTTTACCATTATACTACGCTGTTCTCCAGTTGCCAAATAAGTATCCAGATCTTCTCAAAAAAGAAGCTCAGTTGTCAATTTTTCGGCTTATTTCCTATGTGAGAAGCAAAGGGGCACCTGCAAAAGTGTGTATTTCCATATATGAAAACTGGCACTTGGCATGCAATTCTCTACTTTACATGTGTACTGGGGTAGGATTACATTTTTACTGATACACCCTGGCTTTGGTAGGCTGCTAACAATGTGCCCTTTATGTAGAATTTCCTGGGAGCAGAGCCCTAAGTTCTGGTTCCTAACCCGAAATAAGCCATGTCAATGAGAAGCTGCAATGATTTATAACCTCCAAAAAAAAATTATAGAAATGATCAATATTTTGTCTCTGTTTGCCAAGTAGAATGTTGCCTGTTTTTGTGACCAACTAAGAAAACTCAGAGAAAGGACTTTCAAGTACACAGCCAGTCATCACAGGTCTATCTCATAATGAAAAGAGGAAAAGTTTTTAGATAGGATTTACAGGGAGGGCAAAACACCAAGTAGAACAATTTCAGTTTTGTTATTAGTGACTGATGCTGACAACATTAAACCATAGCTAAAGTGGCCGGGCGCGGTGGCTCAAGCCTGTAATCCCAGCACTTTGGGAGGCCGAGACGGGCGGATCACGAGGTCAGGAGATCGAGACCATCCTGGCTAACACGGTGAAACCCCGTCTCTACTAAAAATACAAAAAACTAAGCCGGGCGAGGTGGCGGGCGCCTGTAGTCCCAGCTACTCGGGAGGCTGAGGCAGGAGAATGGCGTAAACCCGGGAGGCGGAGCTTGCAGTGAGCTGAGATCCGGCCACTGCAGTCCAGCCCGGGCTACAGAGCAAGACTCCATCTCAAAAAAAAAAAAAAAACAAAACAAAAAAAAAAACCATAGCTAAGAATCAATTTTGTATATAAATTTAATACACTGATTTCTTAAAACAAACAAAAGATTGACCCAATATATTTAAGAACATTTAAACACTTCTTCTCTTTGAAAGACACTGTTAAGAGAATAAAACAGTAAGCCACACAAAAGAAAATCTTTGCAAAACACATTTAAAAAATAGAAATTGGCTGGGCATGGTGGCTTATGCCTGTAATCTCAACACTTTGGGAGGCTGAGGTGGGCGGATCACTTGAGGTAAGGAGTTTGCGACCAGCCTGGCCAACATGGTGAAACCCCATCTCTACTAAAAATGCAAAAATTAGCTGGGTGTGGTGGCATGCGCCTGTAATTCCAGCTACTCGGGAGGCTGAGGCACTAGAATTACTTGAACCCAGGAGGCAGAGGTTGCAGTGAGCTGAGATTACACCACTGCACTCCAGTCTGGGTGACAGAAGTGAAACTCTGTCTCAAAAAACCAAACCAAAACAAACAAAAACCCCCTAAGAAATATAAAATATAAAAAGAATGCTTAAAAGTCAACAATGAGACAACAATTAAAAAATGGTGGTGTGTGGCTGCAGTCCCAGCTACTCAGTATGCTGAGGCACTAGCATCATTTGAGCCCAGGAATTCAAATCCAGCTGGGGTAACATAGCAAGACCCAGTCTTTAAAAAAAAAAAGACAAAAGAGAGTTGAGCTAAACAGATACTTCACCAAACAAAATAAACAGATGATAAAAATGCATATGAAAAGATGCTCAATATCATATTAGGGAATTGCAAACTAAAACAACGAGATGCCACTACCTGCCAATTAGAATGGCGAAAATCTAAAACACTGACACCACAGAAACTCTTACTGTTGTCTGGAATATAAAATGTTACAGCCATTTTGGAAGGTAGTTTGGCAATTTCTCATAAAACTAAATATATTCTTACCATACAATGTAGGAACTGTGCTCCATGGTATTTACCCAAATAGGCTGGACATTATGTCTACACAAAAATCTGCACAGGGGCTGGGCACCGTGGCTTACGCCTGTAATCCCAGCACTTCGGGAAGCCGGGGTGGATGGATCACCTGATGTCAGGAGTATAAGACCAGCCTGGCCAACATGGTAAAACCCCATCTCTACTAAAAATAGAAAAAATCAGCCAGGCGTAGTGGTGGTGCCTGTAATCCCAGCTACTTGGGAGGCTGAGGCACGAGAATCGCTTGAACCTGAGAGGTGGAGGTTGCAGTGAGCCGAGGTCGCTCCACTGCACTCCAGCCTGGGTGACAGAGTGAGACTTTGTCTCAAAACAAAACAAAAAAAACCTGCGCACGAATGCTTAGAACAGCTTTATTTGTAATTGCAAAGACTTGGAAGCAACCAAGAGATCTTTCAACAGGTGAATGAACAAACTGTGGTACATCCATACAATGGAATACTATTCAGTGCTAAAAAGAAAGGAGCTATTAAGCCACAAAAAGACACAGAAGAAACTTAATTGCATATTGGTAAATGAAATAAGCCAGTCTGAAAATGATACATGCTGTATGATTGCAACTATATGACATTTTGGAAAAGACAAAACTATGGACACAGTAAAAAGATCAGTGGAAATGTACAAAGAAGAGCAGGTACTATTCCTACAGAAACCACTCCAAAAAAATTGAGGAGGAGGGACTCCTCTTCACCTCATTCTATGAGACCAGCATCACCTTGATACTAAAACCTGGCAGATACACAATAAAAAAAGAAAACTTCAGGTCAATATCCTTGATGAATATCGATGCAAAAAGCCTCAACAAAATACTTGCAAACTGAATCCAGCAACACATTAAAAGTTAATCCACCATGATCAAGTACACTTATATGAGATGCAAGGGTGGTTCAACATATGCAAATCAATAAATGTGATTAATCACATAAACAGAACTAAAGACAAAAACCACATGATCATCTCAATAGATGCAGAAAAGGCTTTTGATAAAATTCAATACCCCTTCATGTTAAAAGGTCTCAACAAACTAGATATTGTAGGAACATACCTCAAAATAGTAAGAGGCATCCATGACAAACTCACGGCCAACATTATACTGAATAGACAAAAGCTGGAAGCATTTCCCTTGAAAACTGGCATAAGAGGAGGACACCCTCTCTCACCACTCCTATTCAACATAGTATTGGAAGTCCTAGCCAGAGCAGCCAGGTAAGAGAAAGAAAGAAAGGACATCCAAATAGGAAGAGAGGAAGTCAAACTATCTCTGTTTGCAGATGACATGATTCTGTATCTAGAAAAGTCTCCACCCAAAAGCTCTTTTAGCTGATAACTTCAGCAAAGTTTCAGGATATAAAATCGATGTACAAAAATTACTAGCATTCCTATATACCACCAGTAGCCAAACTGAGAGCCAAATCAGGCAATCCCATTCACAACTACCACAAAAAGAATAAAATACCTAGGAATATAGCTAACCAGGGAGATGAAAGATTTTTACAATGAGAATTATAAAACACTGCTTAAAGAAATCAGAGAAGACACAAACAAATGGAAAAACATTCCATGTTCATGGATAGGAAGAATCAATATCATTAAAATGGCCATACTGGCCAAAGCAATTTACAGATTCAATGCTATTCCTATCAAACTACCAATGACATTCTTCACATAACTAGATAAAACTATTTTAAAATTCATATGGAACCAAAAAAGGGCCTGAATAGCCAACGCAATCTTAAGCAAAAAGAACAAAGCTGGAGGCATCACATTAACCCACTTCAAACTATACTACAGGACTACAGGAACTAAAACAGCATGGCAACGGTACAAAAACAGACACATAGATCAATGGAACCATATAGGGATCCCAGAAATAAGGCCACACACCTATGACCATCTGATTTTCAACAAAGCTGACAAAAACAAGCAATGGGGAAAAGACTCACTATTCAATAAATGGTGCTGGAATAACTGGCTAGCCATATGCAGAAGACTGAAGCTGTACCCCTTCCTTATACCATATATAAAAATCAACTCAGGATGGATTAATGACGTAAATGTAAAACCCAAAACTTTAAAAACCCGGGAAGACAACCTAGGCAATACCATCCCGGACATAGGAACGGGCAAAGATTTCATGACAAAGGCACCAAGCAATCGCAACAAAAGCAAAAATTAACTGACAAATGAGATCTAATTAAACTTAAGAGCTTCTGCACAGCAAAAAAAACTATCATCAGAGTAAACAGCCTACAGAATAGGAGAAAATATGTGCAAACTATACATCCAACAAAGGTCTAATATTCAGCATCTATGAGGAACTTAAACAAATTTACAAGAGAAAAACAAACAATCCCATTAAAAAGTGGGCAAAGGACATGAACAGACACTTCTCAAAAGAAGACATACATGCTGCCAACAAGAACATTAAAAAGTTCAGTATCACTGATCATTAGAGAAATGCAAATCCAAACCACAAGGAGATTATCATCTCATATCAGTCAGAATGGCTACTATTAAAAAGTCAAAAAATAACAGATGCTGGTGAGGTTGCAGACAAAAGGGAACACTTACACACTTTTGGTGGGAGTGTAAATTAGTTCAACAATTGTGGAAGCAGTATGATGATTTCTTGAAGAGCTAAAAGCAAAACTACCATTCATCCCAGCAATCCCATTACTGAGTATACACCACAAGAAACATAAATTATTCTACCATAAAGACACATGCACACAAATGTTCACTGTAGCACTATTCACAATAGCAAAGACATGGAATCAACCTATATACCATCAATGACAGACTGGATATGGCAACGATGGACAGAAAATATGGTACATATACACCATGAATACCATGCAGCCATAAAAAAAATAAGATCATGTCTTTTGCAGGAACATGGATGGAGGTGGAGGCTTTTATCCTTAGCAAACTAACACAGGAAAAGAAAACCAAATATTGCATGTCTTCATTTATATGTGAGAGCTAAATAATAAGAACTTATGAACACAAAGAAAAAAACAACTTGGGCTTCTGGGTAGAGGGTGGGAAGAGGCAGAGGAGCAGAAAAGTAACTAATGGGTACTGGGTTTAATACCTGGGTGATGAAATAATCTGTATAACAAACTCCTGTGACATAAGTTTACCCATGTAACAAACTTTCACTTGTAACCCTGAACCTAAAAGTTAAAAAAAAAATCAGTGGTTGCTAGTCATTGCCAAGAATGAAACCTAAGGTAAACTATGAACTTTAGTTAATAATAATAGTTAATATTGGCTCATCAAATGTAACAAACGTACCACACAAACATGAGTTAATAATAGGGGAAACTGTATGTTGGCATAAAAAGGTATATGTGAACTCTGTACTTTCTGTTCAGGATTTCTGCAAACATAAAACTACCATTAAAAATATTAATTTAAAAAACAAAAGATTGACCCAATATGTTTAAAAGCATTTCAAGTTTGTTTCTTTTTTTGATTAAAACTGCTATACTCTTACTTCCCCATACCCACTGCCATTTTGTTCTGCTTTTCTGTTAATATTTTTTATTAAAATGTTATTTTTCATCTAGGGTGTCTTCCAGAATAATTCATTCTTACATATAGAGGTATATTATTCTTGTAAGAAGTAGGAAAATATTTCTTTTATTTGTTAATCCAATCAAAAATGATGAGTGCTAAACTAAAATTCCCAACCAAAATTCCAAAGATGAGCAAAACAAATGCCTGTGGAAACAAGAAAAAAGATAAAAAACACAATTAGATTATTTGTTAAGCCTC